CTTGTCAGAAATAGAAAAATTTTTTAAACCTTTTTTATTAGAATTCGTGGTTTTTTATTTTTTTCTATTAAATTTATATTTAATTTCATAGTTTATGAGCCAAACTAAAAAAGACACCAAACATTTAGAATTTTTTTATAAATTCTAAAAATTTAATTTATTCCAGTACTTTTAATAAAAATCCCTGACTTTTCCCTGATTTCCCTGACCAATTCTACTTTTCCTGACTGTTCCCTGAATTCCCTGATTTTCCTGACCTGAGGCAACCATGTTAATTGAATCAAATAATTTTTATTTGATTCAAATAATTTTTTTTCAGTGTAATTTTCTTCTCAGTAAAAAAATTGTTTCGTTTTTCCAACAAAACAATTTGATAATAAACACCTCCGACTAATAAATAAATAGCAGTGGAGTTTATCACTACTATTTCCATTATTTCATAAAACATTCTAAATAATTCTGTTATCTAATCGAAAAACAATTTTTCAATTTAAAAGCCTTTCTAGATAAAATAATAATTGTAAAAAATTAAAAAATATAGTATTTTTAATTTAAAATAATATTTTTTTAATTAACGAAAAAAAATGTAGAGTGAAAGAGAAGGGAATGAAATTATCGAAATAAGACGTTGTCATATCTAATGACTTTATTTAGCGCAGCATCTTGTGTGTATATATATGCACACTCGATGTCTTGCACGATTGCATAATTGATGATACTTGGATTGATTAAACGATATGTGAGTGAAGGAGAAGTAGGTAAAAGACAATGTTGAATGTTTTCTTGTGTAGTTGTACAGTTAGGTGCCAGTTCAAGTGGCTTTCGTCTCGTGCCAGTCGGTCCAGTTTGCAATCCGAGGATGCGAATGCATCTCAGATTGCCAACCGAACAAGGTACATGTATATATCTATATACACAATATTCTATACGCCCATCTTACATCAATTTTACCGTTATATTATTTATACTGCTGATATTTTACTTATATACATCTGCTTATAATAGACTATATATAGGAATACTTCTGTCGCATTATTTCATAACAAGTGTCGCTTATATTCAAGCAAATAATTTTAAAAAAGTCAGAAAAAAGTCGGATTTTTAAATTACTCTTTTCATATTCAGTACCCTCTTAATTTTAATCACTTAATTTCTATTTCACTGATGAAATTAAAATTTTCCACAAATTTAGCTGGAAAATCGAACTCAGAATTTTTGTTCAACAAAATTTCCGGTTTTTTCCTAATTTTTCCCGGTTTATTTCTTATCAAATTTAAATTTATTTGATCTCAAACATAATTAAATTTACAAGTAGTTTCCAAAATTTTTATTACAGTTTTTATGAATAGTTAAATTCTTTTGACGAGTTTCTTTAAATTTTTTGAAAATAATATTTTTTTTAAATAATTTTCATTAAAAATTTGAAAAATGATTGAATTAAAAAAAGAATTTTTTCAATTTTTTAAAACAATCTTGTCTGTTTATAATTATAATTGAAAATTTGATAAATTCAATTTTATTAAAAATTTTTGAAAAGTAATTTAATTGTGGAGAACAATTTATTTATTTATATAAAGATAATTGAACCTTTGAGAATTTTTAAAAATAATTAAATTTCTGCGAAGAATTTTATTACTTTTGAAAATAATTGAATTTTTTTTAGACTTTTATAAATAGAATTGAATTTTTGTGAAGGATTTTTTTTAAAAATAATATTCAAAAGAATTAAGTAAATCTGAAGAAGTTTACTATTTATGAAAATAGTTGAATTCTTTCGACGAATTTTAATAAAAATTTTTAAGAATAATTACATTTTTCAAGAAATATTTGATTAAAATTATTGTATTAAAAATAATTTGAAATTGTGCAATGAGTTTTACTATATTTATGAAAATAATTGAATATATTGCGAAGAAATTTTTAAAAATAAAATTATAGTTACGATGATTAACTTTCCTTGATTATTTTCGAAAAATTTAAATAAAATTCTTTAAAAGAATTTAATTATTTTTAATACAATGTAAAGAAATTGTTTAAAAGTTTTTAATGAAATTCTTTAACAAATTTAATTATTTTCAGTTGAATTTCATAAAATTTCTATTAATTAGATAATTTTTTTAAAATTTCTTTACATACTACATACAATCAGTGACTGATTTTTTACTATCAAATTAATTATTTTTAACTAATTCAAATTTAGAGATCAGTATAAATATACATAAAAATTGAAAATAAAAAGCGATTTTTTAAAAACGAATTAAAATAATAAAACTTTTTTTAATTTGGTGAAAAAATTCCCGGTTTGGAATAAAATTCCTGGCTTATTCTCGGTTTTTACCGATTCAAATTAAATTCCACAGTTTTTCTAAGAATATCAAATTGAGACAAAAAATGAATCAAAAGTGTTTTTTGTCTCAATTTGATATTCTTAGAAAAACTATGACAATAAATATTTTAAAGTTGAAAATTAATTGAATAAATAAATAAAATAAATAAAAAAAAAATAATAAAGAAAATGAACAAATAGAAGAAAATAAAGAAAATGAATAAAAAAAACAAGATAAGGAAAATAAATAAAAAAGCAAAATAACTAAAATATAAATAAATGTTTTCATTTTAATAGAATAGGAATTTTACTTTTAAAGACGCTGATCTTTTATTTGAGACGTAAATATAGAAAAATACCAGTTTCCTTGAAATGCATAAAAACGACCTTAAAACGTGAAAAATTGTTTTTATTTTCTATAATAAGATAATAAAGCGATATGACACTTTATAGTCTCAAAACTCGAATAAAAACGAAAGTATAAAAAATGAATAGTGCATAAAAAACTTTAAATGGATATGCATCAATTGTCATTAGAATTGTGTTCTGATAACTATTAAACTCCTTTTATATACCAACCTTCAAAAAATTTATATTATTTCTTTTTATTTTATTCACAAGGTTATAATTACATTTTATTATGTTTTTACAAAAAAGGAATGTAACTTAATTACAGTTTATACTCTTTACTTTTTCTATTCAAATTTACAATATACTCTCTAAATTTGAATTAGTAAAAATTTTTACTAACTTGATTTAGTAAATGATACTTTGCTTTTTAATTCGTAAATTTCACTAATAAATTAGTAGAAATTACTATTTGTTAGTAAAATTTAAAGTAGTTTAAAAATTAATAATTGAAAAAAACAGTATATGAACTACTAATTTATTAGTGAAATTTACTAATTCAAAAGCTAAAAGTCAGAAAGTAATTCAAATTAGTAAACATTTTTACTAATTAAAATTAAGAGAGTATAAAATTACTCTAAATTTGAATTAGTAAAAATGTTTACTAATTTAAATTAGTGACTGACTTTTTGCTTTTAAACTAGTTAATTTTACTAAACAATTAGTATAGAAATTACTATTTATTTGTAAAATTTACTAATTGAAAAGCAAAAAGTCAGTCACTTATTTAAATTAGTAAACATTTTTACTAATTTAAATTTAGAGAGTAGCTAAACTTTAAATTCATTTCAATTATTAATAATTTTCAAATATTTATTTAATATTTTATTAATTGACTAATAATAACAATAATAATATTATTAATAACAAAATAATTGAAGTTTACAAATTATTTAAAAAATTATAAATTAAAAAAAATTAAAATTAAAAATTAAGAAGTTAAATAATCTTTAAAAAGAGAAAACTACTTTATTCAATTTAAGGACCGTTTCTTGTTATTTTATATCCAAATTTTATTAACTTGCTTTTTATTATAGAATGTAAAAGGATTTTATTCTCTTTACACTATTAAATCAATAAAGAAACAAATTACTGGGAATAAAAGAAGTGAAAGTTTCAATAAACATTTTATTTAAAAAAGTGAAAATGAGTAATAAAAAATATTTTTAACTTACAAATGTCAAGTGTTAAAACAGTAAAAAAATTAAATCACAAATGGGAAAGAATAAAAATATTTTTACTCATATGATTAAATTGTTAGGTAATTTTAATTCAAATTTTATTAGTTTTCCTGTATTTTCGAAAATGAGATAATTATCATTATTATTTATTATTATTTTATTAATTAGCTCTCTAAATTTAAATTATAGTACGAAAATTCAGCCACTAATTAACATTATTAAAAATATTTACTAATTTGCAGTAAATTATTAATATTTTTAATAAATTATTACTATTTTCTTTGTAGTTCTAACTTTTTTAATTCAATTTTAACTAAAAAATTACTGAAGATTAGTAAAAATTCTGACTAATTTGAATTAGTGGCTTAATTAATTAATTAATCACAAATTTCTTTTTTTACTAAATTTTTATTGAAAATTGACTAAAAATTAGTTAAAAACTTTTACTAATAATTTAAACTACAATAATCATTAAATTAACATTATTATTTTCTAATAAATAAAATAAAAATGTTTATAATATAAATTTTTTAAATTAACAATTATCACTTATTTTATAAGTTTCTTAAAGAATTGTTAAAAGAAAACTACCACATTTCTGCTTTATCGATTGTTTATACTGATTCAAAATTATAATCTAGTTCCATCTCTTTTTAAATATTTTAATAATTAAAATAATTATCTATTTTAATATTTAAAATAAATATTTATTTTAATATTTAAAATAATTATTTATTTTAATATTTAAAATAATTATTTATTTTAATGTTCTCTCTTTTAAATTAGTAAAAATGTTTGCTAATTTAAATTAGTAACTAATTTTTTGCTTCTGAATTAATAAATTTTACTAATATATTAATAGAAATTACTATTTATTAATAAAATCTAATAATTCAGGTTTAGACAGTTTTTTCAAAAATTCGTTTAATATTTATTTTAATAATTATTTCCTTTCAACTACGACCTTTAATATTTGAAAATAGGGTAGTTTTCCCGCGCGCAATTTTCTGCATATTGGCTAACCTGCCCGAGTTTCATCGCCCTCATGTTGGTAGTTGTTGCTGACGTAGTCGATTGTATTGTAGTTGACGGCTTGTGTTGAAGCGACAAAAATGGCCTCCGCGGAACAGGTTGGTCTTAATAAAACTTGGGAATTATCGCTTTATGAGCTACATCGGACACCTCAGGATGCAATTACGGATAATACAGAGATTGCGGTTAGTCCGCGGAGTTTGCACAGTGAACTTATGTGTCCAATATGTCTAGATATGCTTAAAAAAACAATGACGACAAAGGAGTGTCTACATCGTTTCTGCTCCGATTGCATTATCACTGCACTACGAAGTGGTAACAAGGTATTTATCTTCAAATTAAAACTCTAATTCTAAAAGAGAATTCACATTATAATTCCCCCTTGTTATTTTTATTCATTTCGAGAAAAATTCGTTCAGTTATCAATGTTTATTCACTGCAAAAATTTTGTTGTTTACTATCAATAGTTTACGTTATTTAGCATTATACAAGTGTCAAAAAAAAATTATTAGTTTTTATTTTTGCATAATTTAAAAAAAATACATTTCTGTAATTTTAATTTTCACCTTTAAACATAAGGAGGTTATGTGTGATTTGACGAAAATTGATATTAATTGTTTTTTGTAAATTTGTCATAAAAAAAGGTTATGTTCATTTGTGATTTTTATGTTAAAATTGGTATTGTTAATTTATTACTTCTCCTTTTATATTTTCTTTGAAATGAATATAAAAATTGAGAGTTATATTTCATTAACCTAAAAAAACCGTTTGACATAACCTTTTTTATAGATTTTTTTGTAATTTAAATTTATTTAGGTATGTATTTATCATAAATATAGGCATTGAATTATTTGCTAAATATGTCGTTTTATTCAATTATTATTAAAATGTTATAATTAAAATAAGAAAACAATAATTAATAAAGATATTCTAATAATTGTTTATTAATTGAATCTAAAGTGGATTTTTCCTTTGAATTTCAGGAATGTCCGACATGTCGAAAGAAACTTGTGTCAAAACGTTCCCTGAGGCCGGATCCAAATTTTGATTTGTTAATTTCGAAAATTTATCCCAGTCGAGATGAATATGAGGCACATCAGGAACGTGTTTTGGCAAAACTCAATAAATCGCATTCACAAGCCGCCCTCGTTAATTCAATTACTGAAGGTATAAAATTACAAAGTCAAAACAGGCCGCAACGTTCACGAAAGAATATTAACGAATCGGAAAATACGAGTGGTACAGCGTCCTATAATAATACGCCAAATGTCAGTGCGCCAACGACCCCAAATCCAGCAGTAACCGCGGCAAATCAAAGTGATTCCTCACAAAGTGCAACTGGACCCGCAAATACGAACAATTCAAATTCAAACAGTGCATCACAACCCGCCAGTAGTCCTGCCGTTTCAGGTATAAATTTCACAATCCCTGCTTTGCAAAAAAAGGAAATTTACATTTTTTACATTTAATTCTCTAAATCAAAATATTTTATTATTTCGCTTTCTGGTTTGCGAAAATTGAAAAGAAAATTAATTTTTGACGTTGTGTTCTCTAAATCACAATATTTTATTATTATTATTAGACTCCACGGTTTACGGAAATTAAAAAGAAAACTATAAACAATTTTTTCAAAAATTATTTTTGAATAATTTTTCTAATTAAATTTTCGAAACATTACAATTAAAAGGATTTTAAATAATTGGAATTTTGTAAAATTAAATTGAAAATAATTAATTTTTTCGCAAGTATTTAGTTACAATTTTTTTAAAATCAATTTTTTAAGAATTTTGATTGCACATTTTGAAATTAATTGAATTATCAAAAATTTTAATGAAAAATCTTTAAATGTAAATTTAAAAATGAAAATAATAATAAAAATTAGCTTCTAATTTTTTAACATTCAATAATTTCAATGACATATTTTCGAAAATTCAAATACATCCAAAAAATAATAACATTTTAGGATTATTTTTAACATTTTTAAAATTCATCAAAAAATTAATTAGTTTATTTAACTTGAACAAAAATTTTTCAATTATTTTCGAAAAATTACATTGAAATATTATATAAATTAAAATATAAATAATTATATTTTTGAAAAATTCAATTATTTTACAAATATTTTGCCAAAATTCAATTATTTTCAAAAGATTTTACTATAATTCAATTATAAAAATAATAAAAAAAAAAAAATTTTATCGAAATTCAATTACTTTTAGAAGATTTTTCTAGATTTATATTATTTTTAAATATTTTACCAAATTTCAATTATTTTTAAAAGATTTTACCAAATTTCAATTACTTTAAAAATATTTTACCAAAATCCAATTATTTTAAAAATATTTTACCAAAATTCAACTATTTTTAAAAGATTTTATCGAAATTTAATTACTTTTAAAAGATTTTATTGAATTTCAATTATTTTAAAAAAAATTTTACCAAAATTAAATATTTTTAAAAGATTTTACAAAAATTCAATTATTTTAAAAAGATTTTACCAAATTGAAATTTCAATTGCTTGGAAATTTTTTAATTGTATACAATTAAAAACTGAGTATCTTTCAAAAATTATTCAAACATTTTTTAAAAAATTAATTGTAAGAATTTTGTTTATTATAATTTTTTGAAAATACTATACTTCAAATAAACTGAAGAAAAAAACATGGACAGTTACAGTTATTTAAAAAAATCGAATTTTCGTATTTAAATAATTTAATTCTCGAACAACTCTCGAAAAATTATTTTAAAAAAATAATTGATTTAGAGATGAAGTTTGGTTGAAAATTATAGAAAATAATTGAATTCAGGAAGGGTTATATTTGTAATTTATAGAAATTATTAATTTTCATAAATTTTACTCATTTTTATATTTTTCTGTAAAAAAAATTTTGCCAGGGAAAATAATTTTAGTGTCAGTAAATTGTCAGGGAAATTGATAAACTGAACTTGTGAGTTGAGGATAATTTCTAATCTTTCCTACTTTAAAAAAATTATAGGATCCACTTCGAGGAATTCAACTACTCCATCACCAAATCCAGCTAATCAAATACCAAAGCCCGCGAAACGACAGAAAAGTCTTCAAAATTCAGAAAATGACTCATCGAGTGCAGAAGCGGAAACTGGAGGTGGTGATTCAATGGTCGATACGGAAGGCGAAGGGCCAAGCGAGCCTCTAATGCTCAATGAAATTGAACTTGTTTTTAAACCACATCCCACGGAAATGGCGGGAGATAATTCGTTAATAAAAGCTTTAAAGGAGAATAGTATTCGGTATATCAAGACGACTGCGAATGCAACTGGTATGATTTTCATATTCCCAAGCTAGTACTTTATCGAGAGCAGAAAATATTACTCCTGGGATTTTTTTTCCACAAATTTAAAAATTTATTTTGTTTTTTTTTTGTAAAAAAAGATTTCACTGAAATTTTGCTTTTTCAAATGAAGGAAATTTTCTCTTTCTGTTTACATATTTTCAAAATTTTCTGTACTGAATTCGAAGAATATAAATTTAACATATGTCAGAATTAATGTTTTTTTCGCATAGAATATCTATTTTGAAAATACGAATTAAAACTAGTAACAAAAATATTCATTTGAAAGTTCAAAATTTTAGGAAAAGGTAAAAAAGTAAAATTGACGTAATTCAAGTTCAGAACGTTTATTATCAACAATTTGGAAGGAAAAGTATTTTTACTCCAAAGGACGCTGCAGAAAATACATCAGTTTTTTCCCAGACAATTTTCTAATAAATTTTTTGAATTTGTATTCACTTTGAAGAAAACTAATTAATTCAAAAACTTATAGGAAAATAGACTGGGAGCCAAAACTAATTTCCTGCAAGGTCCTTTTTTCTAAACAAAATTTTTACAATATTAGATGAATAATTTAAAAAATAATTTTAAAAAGTAAAAATTTGTAGTAAAAAACTATTGTTTTTTGGGTAAAAAATATTTTTTCCTCCCAAACGTGATAAATTGTAAATTTAATTAAATATCTATTTGAATATTTAATATTTATTTATTTAATATTTAATATTTACTCGATTATCGATTAACGGTTTGAATTAAATTTTCAGTGGACCATCTCAGCAAATATTTGGCGATGCGATTAACACTGGATTTAGACACGGAATTATCCGAGTCGGACAGGCTTTTGAATTTCTGCATATACATTGCCCCGTCACCCGGACAACTTGTGGTTTTAAGTGGTTCACAGACGTTGCGGCAAGTGAACGACAAATTTTGGCGAGTAAATCGACCATTAGAAATGTACTATTCGTGGAAAAAAACCTAGGGAAGGGTTCGCAAATCTCATTTAAATGGGAGCTAGTCAAATTTCAGCTCCAGAATTAAAACACAAAAAAAACAAAAAACAAAAAAAATAGAAGACAAAAATGTAGAGGAGAAGAATAAGAGCTTATACAAAAAAAAGATACTAATCAAATAGTATTTGAAAGAAAGAATATCAAATTTCTCCCCTCCGGAAGAAAACCTGACGTCTTTGTAAACGTAGAAAAATTACGTTTCAACACCTAGTTGATGAAATTGTGTGTTTTCTTTTTTCTTTTCAAATTCATTTTTTCTTCCGGTTTAAAATAATTGTAAAATATTTCTTTTTATTTTCGTCGAGATAGTTCTTTGAGGAGAATGTTTCTACCGGTGTTGGATACCGTTTTTTTGTAAATAGCAAAATCTGTGAACGTGTACCTAAAAAATGTAAGCATCGAGAATGATGAAATTGTTTATTAATATCAAAAGCGAAGAGACAGCTTCGTATTTCGTTTTTTTTTTTTTTTTGTTTAATATAATTGACTGATATTCATCGGAATGCTTTACGCGGGAACACAAAGAATGAAAAAAAGCTCCACGAAATTATTCGTGCTGCAAAATTTTATATTTATGTGTAGTCAGAAATAAATGCGGTGTTTTCACTTGAATTTTTCGAATTTTATTTTAATCAAAACTCCAATTTAATAAATCCACGTATGGAATTTTATACATTTTGAATATTTTATAATCGAAAAAATGAAAATTGTTTTCTTTATATAAAAAATCGAAATTTTTCTTTAATTTTCCGAAACTGAAAAAAGTAATTTCGAAAGTTTGTGAATACTAAATGTTTAAAATTAATTCGCATATTGTAGAAAATATGTAAAAAGTTTAAAAGTAAGGAATGGAAGTTTTGTAAATGTTGGGGAATTTAATAATTCAGAAAGAAAACTGTATATAAATGAATCAAGTGGGAATTGAAAATCCGATTGACAACTTCGTTAAAAATGTATGAAAAGCATATCCTCTCGGCGACAAGTGGAAGGATAAATCGATAATCCGCCAATGCGCACTCGTCGCACTCTCTCGTAACCAACGAATTGGCAATAACCCCAATGTCCCTTTGTTCCTCCTTGACGCTTATCGACTTATGAACCGAAGCTAATTAATTTTTCCAATGATTCCCTTTCAAAACACTATTACACAACTATTAATTTTCCCCAACTAGACAAGAAATTAAGATCTTGAAAAACAGTTTTCTAAATTTTCTACTCCGAAGAATAATTTCGATTTTCACAAAGAAAAATTCCAAAACAAGAGAAAAACTACAAAACTCTCAGCACTTTTCGAATAAAAATGAACTATCCAGAGTTAATTCTTTTTTGAACATTTTTAAGCGAAAAATAATGAAATGTGTTTTTTGCAAACGGAATTATTCACCATTTCAAGGGAATGAAGCTAATTATAAAGCTTAACGACAAAGTCAAGTAACGACAGCGTCGGTCTTAATTAAAGCTTTGTATTAGTAGCAAAAGTTATTCGGTTCCTCCAACAGAGAGAAAGAGAGAGAGAGAGAGAGATTTCCTTGACAATCACTCCGACAATATTTACCCCGTTTCCCCATTTTAACCCCATCGGGGTCAATTTCATTGCTTCCGGATTAAATTTCTCCTTCAATAAATTCTCAATCGTTCCAATCTGTCACGTGGGATTATAAATTAAAGAATCCCCTTGGCAAATGAATCAGGGATTAAATGAAGGAAACGATTTTGAGGAAAAAGAATAAAAAAAAAACAACAAAATACCTCTCTCTCTTGAACAAGTTCTCGCGACTAAATTTTTTTTTCCCGACCACGACAATGAACTGCGAGAGATCTTTAAATTGTACCAAGGGATTTATTATACGCTTTTTTTTTACTATTTCCTGCTCTTTGCAATCGCGATTTAAAGAATGTTGGAAAACAAATAAATTTAAGGAAAAAATCTTTGGAAACTAAAAATTTGTTTCGATTTTTAAATAATTGGTACAAGTTTTTCGCAAACGAAAATAAAAGGGATTTCTTTTCGTTTTTCTTCAGACGAAAATTATTTCGATTATAGACTGAAAACTAAACTTTTTGCGCTCCTGAACTTAGCGTTGACGCTAAGCGTCGAAAAACATTTTTTTCACGAAATCGAAAAGAATACTACAATTTTTTTTAGGTTTCAGGTCCGAAAAGAAGATAGAAAAGAATAATACTTTTTTGTTTTAGGTTGAAAAAGTACTGGAAAAAATTTTTTAACACCATCAGTACATGAAATTAGTGATATTTTTATCACTAAAAATAAAAAGAAATAGTTTTTTGACACTGAGTGTCGACGCCAACTTCAGGAACCTGAACTTTTTTATAGAAAAAAAAGAATAAGATTGAATTAAAAAAAGATATTGGACATACCGATTGCAAATTCCTTTCATGAAGCGTTGGCAGCATTTTTTTCCTGGGGTCAATTATTGGTCACTTTTTCCTGCTTCGCTTGTGTCCATAAATCTGAAATATTTGAAAAATTATGAAAAATTTGAAAGATTAGGAAAGAAATTGTATTCAATAAAATTTCTTGTACGCTCCTATTCATTTTAACTTTAAGAATTATTAATTACTACTAATTACTTTGAATGAAAATAAATAAAGAATTCAGTCGAAATTTACGATTGCGAAAATTTTCTGAAAAAGAAAATTCGAAAAAATCGACGAATTTCACTATTTTGAAATGTCCTATAAAGAAAAAACAAAAAAACAACGATTTTTAAATTTTTAAAAATTTTCAAATTCGTTTAAAAACTTGTTTTTTTAATTATAATTTAGATTGAAAATGAACAAATTTCATGAATTTAGTCGAAAATCAAGATTTTGAAATTTTCTGTGGAAAAAAAGGAAAAAAACAATTTTTAAATTTTGAAAAATTTTCAAATTCGTAGAAAAACTTATTTTTTGCGTATAATTTAGATGGAAAATGAAAAAATTTCATAAATTTAGTCGAAAATCAAGATTTTGAAATTTTCTGTAGAAAAAAAAAAATAAAAAATCGACGAATTTGTATTTTTAAAAAATTTTTAAAATCGTTCGAAAACTTAATTTTTGCTTATAATTCGGTTTGAAAATGAAGATAAATTTCGAATTTAGTCAAAATTTACAATTGCGATTTTGAAATTTCTTAAAAAGAAAACGAAAAAAACGACGAATTTTAAATTTTGAAAAATTTTCAAATTCGTTTAAAAACTTATTTTTCGCGTACAATTTAGATGGAAAATGAAAAAATTTCATGAATTTAGTCGAAAATCAAAATTTTGAAATTTTCTGTAGAAAAAAAACGAAAAATCGACGAATTGTCGAATTGAACAATTGTCATATTTTTCCAGAAAAAGGTAAAAAATTTGAAGTTGGATATTTTTGTCAAACTTCAAAGTCAAAAAACTTCACTTAGACCACGTTGAATTTCAAAATAACATGAATTAATTAATTGTTAATTTAATGATGCAGAAAAAAAATTGTTGGCATTTTCGAAAACGACAAAAATTTTCATCTTTTCAAAAAAAAAGTGTCCAAAAAGGTGAAATAGCCCAAATTTTATGCAAACTTGAAAGTGAAAAAACTTTATGAAAACCACGTTAAATTCCAAAATAATTTTTGAACGAATTGGAGAAAAAATAATTTAAATTATTAATAATTAGCATACTAAAAAATCAAAAAATTTCATACATTTTTTTGGAAAAATAGAAAAAATAGTTGAAAAAATCTTACCAGACACAATTTTCTTGGGCATTCCCTATTTTCCGCCAAGAGCCGCACTTCAACGATGTTTTCCATTTTCAGATTCACAAATAAAAAAAAACACGATTTTAAAAAACTCCGAATACGAAAAAGAGAATTATTGACAAATTAAAAACACCCTAAAAACGTTCGCGGTTTTAGAAAAAATACGAGCACTCCCGAAGCTAACACTATTTTTTATTAAAATGTTATAACAAAAATTTAATATCAAATTTTTAATTTTTAACCATTAACGATACCGAATATTCGAAACACGTGGCGCATTACTGCAGAAATTTAATTCCCGTCAATATTCACTTAAACCGAGTTCAAATTTCCATTGTGTGTGAACGAATTTTGGTTTTCATTTGACCTTCTAATAGAGCCGATGAGTCTATTGTTTCCAATTGTTCCCAATCGAATGTAAACACATTGCTTTGTTGTATACAAAAGTACCATCAGAGAGAGAGTCCTTCATTTATTGCACCACCTGGAAAATTAAACAAAAACGATTAGGGGTCGTCCATATACCACGTGGACACTTTTGGGGGGAGGGGGGGTTAAAAAAAGTTTGAAAATGTCCACGATCCCATGTATTTTTGTGTCCACAAGGGGGGAGGGGGGGTCAAAAATCTTTGAAAAACTGTCCACGTGGTATATGGACGACCCCTTATTTTAAAAATGAATTATTAATAATTGTTAAAATTAGTTAATGTTAATTGTTAAAATTAATTAATGTTAATTATTACTCTCGTTATTGCTAAAATTAATATTTATCATTTAGGGGTCGAATATTACGTCACACTATTTTCGGACACTTTTACCCCCCCCCCCCTCCCCTCTCGCGTGTTATACTTTTTTCCTAATTTTAATTATTTATTTATTAATGTACTTTTATTAATTTAATTAAAAATTATTTTTTTAAATTAAATTTTAATTACATTAACTAATTAGTTTACATGAATTAAAACAATCCAGGAATAAAAGTCTGGAATGAAAACTAAATGAATTCCTCTACGGGAAAAAATCGACACTTGCGAAGAATCGAACTTTGGCCCTTGCTGTTCCGAGTCGAGTAGTGAAGCCACCAGGCTATCCCACAGACTCTAGTTTGCAGAGGGAAAAAAGACTTTTTTCCCCTGCGTCAATTTTTTTTGTGACGTCACCTAACCTGTAAATTTCTATTTTTAACCCACTTCACACGATAAAAAGTTTATATCGACAAACGATAGTTTATATAACTAAATATCACAAAAGGAAAGAATTCTAACCAAATATCGAGAATTTGTGTCATAAAATCTTTTATATACTATTTTCCCAGTAACGTCATAGTGTAAAGTGCAGCATAACAACTGACAAGTGTCGGACTATAGATCGAATCGCTAAATGGAATGATAGAATCAGCCAGCCGTAGACGATAAACAAAACAATTACCAAAGGATCCACAGGATGCACGACTTGCAGATTTATCGGATCGTCAGTGATTCTTGACTACTGGAACATTGACACCTTTCGACTCATGGTTATCTGTGCGCATATGTGTATAATACGTAGAATCAAGTGACAAGTAACTTGACGCTGAATCATCATCAATGTCATCGTCTTCGATTTCTGCAGATCTCGATCTTCGCCCCGAGTGCCTGCCTGCCTGCCTGCCTGTTGATGCCAATGTCGATTTGCCTTAAAGGCTATAGATTTAGCCGGAAGTTAAATTGGCTCTTTTAGTCACTTTCTGATTCACTGCCACGAAGGAAGAGCAGTTTGACTCCTTTTTTTCATCATCAACTCGTCTGTCCTCTTCTTCTTCTTTTTCTTCTTGAATCACTCTCTCCGTACACCTGCATTCTTCGGACTTTTCGCCTCGCTTTTCGCTTCTTAAC